TCATAGAACTCCTGGCACAGATAAAGAAGGGCCAAAATCTGTCCCAAATGAAAATGCTGCTACTAAATGTCCCACCACTCCTTCCAAGTCCTCCTATCTCCTCTCCATCTATGAATCTCTCCTTCATTCATGCGTTCCACATTCACCTAGTTTGTCTCCTTCTCAGCTCTCCTCTTCTACTTTTGGCTATCTCCCCTCCTTCCCCCACTGCCCTCCTTCTTCTGTCCTCTCAGTTGAACAAAACTTTCATCCACTAGCAGTAGAAGAATGAGTTAAGCCCTGTGGAGAGGAGAGGGAATAGTTCATAACCTCGTAGAGAAAAAGCAATGATCTATTCTTTGTGCATAATCCCTATCCTCCCTTCATTACTCTGCCCCTTCAATTTGTCCTCCTTGCTTAGACAGCAAATTCTTTGGGGTAGGGACCATGTCTTCTTTACATTAGGTGAATTGCTAACTCATTTCTGGATCTAAACAAACAGTAAAAACAATGAGGCTGTGTCTAGACTGACCAGTTTTTCCGGAAAATCAGCCGCTTTTCTGGAAAAACTTGCCAGTTGTCTACACTGGCTGCTTGAATTTCCGCAAAAGCACTGACTTCCTACTGTAAGAAATCAGTGCTTTTTGCGGAAATACTATGCTGCTCCCCTTTGGGCAAAAGTCCCTTTTGCGCAAAAGTTTTGCACAAAAGGGCCAGTGTAGACAGCTGAGATTTGTTTTGCGCAAAAAAGCCCCAATTGCGAAAATGGCGATCGGAGCTTTTTTGCAGAAAAGCGCGTCTAGATTGGCCACGGACGCTTTTCCACAAAAAGTGATTTGCGGAAAAGCGTCCGTGCCAATCCAGACGCTCTGTTCTGAAAATGCCTTTAACGGAAAACTTTTCTGTTAAAAGTATTTCCGGAAAATCATGCCAGTCTAGACGTAGCCTGACTGTTTCTGCCTCTGGTATTTCTCTAGCAGTCTGGTGAGAGCATCACTTTCATTTTCCTGCTGCCCCGTCAGGCCTCACTGTGGAAGGCACCTTACACAGAAGCCACCCAAATACATTCTTTCTTTCTAGGAGTCTCTAGAACTTCAAAAAGACAGGAGCAACTTAGGCGCTACAGGAAAATCTAGGATCTCCTGGGACCTATGCCAAATTTTAACTGCCTGACAATAAACAGAAGTTTACTCCTCACAGAAAGTGTTGCATACTCTCCACACTGCAACCTAATCTCAAATAACTATACAAAGCCCAAGCAAACTCCATTCACCTGCTAGACATAGTCTTCAACTAGGGCCTTGTCTACACTAGCACTTGTTGCCAATGGCAGCAGTAAAATTAAGTCTGTGCCTCATCAACACTACTGCTTCTCCCATTGTGATCTCCAGGGGGCACTGTGCAATGGTAGGGAAAACACTGAATTTCCAGCACAGACACACCCTACAGTTCAGATTGCATAATAAAGGTGGTGTTCATAGCACATTTTTCATGGGTATTTAGAAACTCAGTGCATCAGGCTACTTTGGTGCAGGAGATGGTGCAGAGCTACTTTTGTCCTGCTGTCTGCACCTAAAAGAAGAAAAAAAGAGAAAAGGGACAGTCAAAAGGGAAAAAGAATAAGATGCAAAAGTGGAGAAAAGGAAAGGAAAAAGACATAGTGAGAAGACAGATAATAGTAATCACTGTAAAAACTATCCCAACCTTCAGTTTCCCTTGTCATTATTATCACACATGATGTTGTGCTACCAAAGTATGGAATTCTTCCTAAAGGAGGGAAGCAGAGAGGAATAAACATCAAAACTACAGGAACAAGCGGATGAACAATTTGCTTTGTTCTTGGGAAAAGGAATTTGTTACTACAAATCGTCAACACAGCAGCATTTTACTGCCTCGCAGTCTTTAAAACAGCATAACCACACACATGGTCACATTCCATATCCTGCCCACTAAAGCCTTGCCGCTGCAGACACAAAAGTCAGCAGACTTGTTCCTTTTTAGGGCAATGCATTAGATGTTAATTGTGCAGTCTTCAAAATTCATGCATGCTAATACTCCAGTGAAATGCAATGAATGCTTCAAGCAAACATACCTGTTCCATGTTTTTGTTGTAGCATATGGTTTCCTGGCTTATCTGAGGAACAGGAATGGCTGCAGGACTGAGCCTATCCAAGTCACTACTTTTACTGACCTGAACAATTCCAGTCTGAGTCACACTGGATGCCAACAAATGAGGAAAAAGAGCAGAGTTGGCCAAATAGTTTAGTTGCTTTGCATCCTGAAAAGGCTGGCTATGGAACCAGTTACCTGATGAGCAGCCATTACTGTCCGTCACACTGCTATTTGCAGAGTAACAGAAGGGTGTAAACTGCTTGTTAGATGAGCTGTTTGTGCTGTTTATCTGGCCCCTGGGCAAAAAGGACACATTCTTCTCAGTGATTTTGCTAGGAGATGGCACCAGTCTTGCTGGATCATTGGCAGTCCACTCAGACATATGGTCCTCATCTTTGAGAGTATGTGTTTCCATATCCCACTTTCCGCACTCCATCTTAAGGACATACAATGAATGCCGCTAGAAAAAAAGATGCAGAACTAAAGCGATGGCCTGAGTGGAGCCCACCAACTGCTTCCATTTTTTTAAAATCCCAGAGTTTTCTTCAGGCTGATGGCAGAGGATCTATCCATAATAACTGTAAAAAATAATATTTTGCAGTCAGGAAACTTGGTCATTCCTGCCTGCCTCCTACTCTCTACTACATTCTAAAGTGTCACACAGGCAGGAAGCAGATATAAAGGTATGTTGCAAACATATACTTTTCTGCACCTAAACCATCCTTCAGGAGTGAGATGACTTGTGCTTTAGCTTCACCTTGTGCCTTTAGGACCAGATAAATCTGCTAAGTGGCCAGACACAACAAAAGAAACATGGGGAACAGAAGATGATTATGCAGAAAATCACGTGTGAAAAACTAGCTGACAGGGTAATGCAGAAGAAAGCTTTCTACATAGCTGATTTTTAAAAAATATCTCATCAGGTGAACTTAGTGGGGTCTTCTAGATGTATTTGAATTTGATTCATAGGCAGTTCTCATGACCTCTATGCAATGCAATATAAATATTTCAGTACACTAATCAACAAGACAATTAATGATTTTTCTCCCCAGTTTAATTTAAGTGGTTTGAATATGATGAACAGACCCATTATATCTTGATCACTTATTATCATTAAAAACTAAAAATATGGTTGGTACTGGTACAATTCCCAAAATACAGTCTCTGCTTCTAACAGCTTGTAACTGGTACACTGCTGTGCTGTATCCATTAGATGTGTAATTCTATTCAAGTTAGTAGCTCCATTGAATTCAGTAGGACACCTGATTAGGGATGTAAGCGAGTGGTCAACTAGTTGACTAACCGATAAGTCTAGGCTTATCCCTTAGTCAAGACAACTACTTACATTACCCCTCCCTTTTGCTTGTCTCTGTATCAGAGGCAGCAAGTGGGGGGGGGGGGGTAGGAAGGGGAAGCAGGGGCCAATGTTGAGTGGGAGTCAACTTAAAAGCCAATTCCACCCAACACTGTCTCTGCAGAGCCACCTCTTCTGCCCCTCGGCACTACTCCCCTTATTAGAGGCAGCAGTGCCAGGGGGATCAGGGGAGGCTACCAAATCAGCTTCTTCCCTCTGTGGGCCCAGGCTCACCGCAGCAAGAAGCTGCTCCAGCTGGGCTTACAGCCCGGCTCAGTCCCAGCTTGCGCCAAGTCCGGGACCAAACCCTGCTGTGACTGCAATTTAAAAGGCAGTAGGAGCCAGGCAGCCTGCCTCCCCTCCCCTGCAGAGTTACAGTGAGGTTTGGTCCTGGACCTGGCTTAAGCCAGGCTCTTTCCCCTATCAACTAATTGAGTAGTTGATAAAAATTCTATCAACTATTCAATTAATAAATAAACCTAATTTTAACATCCCTACACCTGATTTGTGTAAACTTAAGTCCAAGAGTTTGCAGGGCTGAAGAAGACATGGAGAAGACAAAATGTCTTGGGAAATAAGAGGGGGGAGGGAGAATAATAGACAATTTGGAAAAAAATTAAACTAAGAAATAAATCAAAGCCTAATACCTTCTTCCTTGTTTGAAATGCAGGCTTCCGGTACCAGAAGATGTCTGGAATACAAGCATTACAAGTATAGTAGAAAATAAAAAATCTTAGTCCCTCAGAATACCTGTAATATTTTTATTTCCTATATCAGTATATTATGTGACTGTAGAGGATGTATCACAAATAGTGTATAGAATTTGCTATTGCCAGGGCTAGTGCTAACCTGTCATCTCCAAAGAGCTGGGTTCCAATCCTGGATAAGAGCAGAAGTAATTGTGAGTTTAGTGGTCTCATCTTGGTGCCTAAGGGACAAGGATTTTCACTATGTGACTGGTAATTTCTATTTAAATACAGCATGTTGGGGTGGCTTGTTCAGAATCTATCAGCATACAGGAGTCCATCCGCTTCTGAGTGCAAACACGTATTTCTGATGTATGTTTCTGGGATTCAGTCACACCACAGGAGAGGCAAACAGTGATTTAAAAATCAAGTTAAAAGGCTATGTTGGTTAAAAAGTATGTATAGCAGGTATCAGCTAAGAATCCAAATTTAACAGAATACATAATGAAGAGGCAGAAAACAAAGAGAACCAAGAAATAAATAAACTTGATAATTAAAATTATCTGACAGACATGAAAATGAAAACATTAGCATAGCAAATAATATTTTATCTTAACATTCAAGCAGAGTAAACTTCTCATATTTGAATAACTGAAAGAATATAATATAAAGTAATCAACCACTAAACCTACTTATTATATGTTAAAAGACAAACACGTATAAATTGTATACATTAGAATCTAGTTCTAGGAATTAATATTTCTATTAATAATGAGCTCTAAAGATGGTACATTTTATAGATTACTTTGTACTACTTTTACTTTGAGTGTGGTTTTATCATAAGGGGTTTCTTTTAATATTCCCTCCTTCAAGCTTTTTTTGTGAGTCAGTGCAATTAGTTCACAATCATGGAATTGTAGTACAGGCAGTCCCCGGGTTACGTACAAGATAGGGACTGTAGGTTTGTTCTTAAGTTGAATCTGTATGTAAGTCGGAACTGGCGTCCAGATTCAGCCGCTGCTGAAACTGATCAGTTTCAACAGTGGCTGAAT